TTAGCTCATAAGAGGTTTGTCCCTCTCGCTTCACCCAGGACGACAAGGGTGATATTATTGTGATTTTTCCTCTCAAAAGTATGGTACGTGAATACACAATTTTATACAAAGTGCCAGTGCTATGAATCGAATGGCATTTACACGCTAGTCGAACAGGTGATAAGAAACCTATGTTAGATCATAATTTATTTAACCTCAATGTCAATCCAGTACATTAAATCAATTTTCCACTCGTTTGACTAGCGTTTTGATGTCTCTCTTGTCTAAAGGTGGCAAGTTGCCCAGCCACTGCGTCAACCACAACGTCTTAAAATACTGGTCTGGATCATCTAAGTACTATCGTGCTTGCAGCAGTTGCGAGTCGCTAACATTTAGTTAGTTATACGAAAGCAATATAATAAATAATCTAGTTTACCCCAGCCTGCATTACAGTCAGCGACGATGAACAGAAACATTAAAATAATATTTAACAGATTATACATTTCAGGAGACTTGTGCGTTCGACTCAAAGAAATTGTAAAATTGTGGCAATTTTCTATAATTGCGAATGCTTGTCTTTTTAAAAACTAATTTATTACAACATTTGTTTAATTAGTAAGTTATAATTAAATTAGAGTCAAATCCTGTTTGCATAATTAGATAATTTTCTTAAAACAATGTATCTAATTAAATTATTTTTACTTATAAATTTTTCCTTCAACAAACGCGCTGCCGTGATTATCACTTTTTTTATTGCTTTATTTTATTTATATATTTATTATTACATTTCAGTACAGTTTAAATCATCTTTTGCACCATTAAACCACAACTGGTTTGTATTGGCTTAACAAGTAATTTATAAACTAATTGAATATACTTATAAATGACAATAGATATAACATTTCAAATAAGTTAATTTAAGACTTTTTAACAGTAAAAGTAAAAATGAGCAAAGTATAAACGAATTCATTAAAATTGCAGTCACTTTTTAAATAAATAATAATCTCAATATACAACCGGTTCTCGTCAACATCAAAAGCTGCCTACAGCCTGTATATTACAATTGAAAAGTTCCACAAGATTTTTTTTTATGGCATTAGCCGTTAATCGAGCGGACAGATCACCTGATGGTAAGCAATCGGCGTCGCCCTTGGACACCTGGAACACCAGAGTCGTTACAAGTGCGTTACCGGCTTTTTGGGGATTAGGAGTTTGAGGATCGTTGGGGATTCAGGGATTGGGGAGATTGGGGAAGGGGAGGGTAATTGGGCCTCCAGTAATCTCACTCACACGACGAAACACAACGCAAGCGTTGCTTCACGTCGGTTTTCTGTGAGGCCGTGGTATCACTTCGGTCGAGCCGGCCCATTTGTGCAGAAGCATGGCTTCCCCACACTTAAAATAATGCGAATGTAGCATACTGTGGGGTAGACTGTAAAAGTTTAACATTAGTTGGTACCGTGCGGGTCGATATCGGTTTCTTTATTTAAAAAAATTACTGCAATTTTAATGAATTCGTGTATGCTTTGCTAATTTTTACTTTTACTGTTACAAGGTCTTAAATTAACTTATTTAAAATGTAACATCTATTCTCATTTGTAGGTATATTCAATGGGTTTATAAATTACTTGTTAAGCGAATGTGAGTACCAATACAAACCAACTGCGATTTAATGGTGCAAAAGATGTTTTGAACTGTACTGAAATGTAATAATAAATAAATAAATAAAATGAAGCAATAAAAACATGATAATCGTTGACCGGGAGAAAATGCCATATTAATAATACAAAATGCATTAAGTCCGCCTTGTGTACCTTATTTTATGTGAATCAAAGCGTTAATAAATAAATAATCGTGGCAGCACGCTTGTTGAAGGAAAGGTTTAAAAGTAAAAATAATTTAATTACATTGTTTAAAGAAAATTATCTAATTATGCAAACAAGATTTTGTTCTAATTTAATTATAACTTACTAATTAAACAAATGTTGTAATAACTTAGTTTGAAAAAAGACAACCATTCGAAATTATAGAAAATTTTACAATTTCTTTGAGTCGAACGCACAAGTCTCCGGAAATGTATAAGCTGTTAGATATTATTTTAATGTTTCTGTTCATCGTCGCTGACTGTAATGCAGGCTCGGGTAAACTTGATTTTTTATTATATTGCTTTCGTATAACTATATGTTAGCGACTCGCAACTGCTGCAAGCACGATAGTACTTAGATGATCCAGACCAGTATTTTTAAGACGCAGTGGCTGGGCAACTTGCACCCTTTAGACAAAAGATACATTAAAACGCTAGTCAAACGAGTGGAAAATTGATTTAATGTACTGGATTGACATTGAGATTTAATAAATGATGTTCAAACACAATCATTTTATTCATAGCACTGGAACTTTACACAAAGTTGCGAATTAAAGTACTATATTCTTAAGAGGAAACATCACAATAATATCACTCTTGTCGTCCTGAGTGAGGCGAGAGGGACAAACCTCTTATAAGCTAAAAATCACCCCACCCCAACTCCTGCTTGGAGCCAAAGCAACGATAGCTCGTCGCGGGTCTCCACAGCAGCTACCTAAGTCCTCAAATCGGGTCATGATGCGGAGCGAGGGGGACTGGGATGCCGTCTCCTCCTTCTGCGAAGTAGTCATGCTAGCTAAGGAGTTGGCGGGACGCGTGAGGTAGCGAAGCGCTTCCTCCTCGCAACCCAGCCATCGCGAAGGACACTCCGGGCGTCGGGGATCGCGAGACGATCTCCGGCCACCGTAAGCGCGGGCCTGCGGACGGCCGCCCGACAGCTCCCCGTCCGACCAGAAACAGAGGCGCGCCTCAAAGAGCCATCAGACCACCACGCATGGGGCCCAACAGGGCTGATGCCGATTCGGAGTCGCGGAGAACCTAACGGGTTACCGGGGCCGCAATTGGTCAGGGCGTATGATTTTGTGCACGAGAGATTTTGTTTCATCGCTAGATTTTGACTTATTTGCTGAGTAAATTGCTATAGAAGTCAGATTTCTAGGTCGCACGAAGTCAGTTCCCTTCTTTACCATGTCAGCAAATTAAAAATTTCCCGTTGATGTTGAATCCTTGATAGTCTGCTTGACGTCCGAAATGTTCCACATGGTCCTGCTTTTCTCTAATCTCATCTATAATGTTGACGGCTATGCGGGCTTGCTGCTTAAGAGCTTGGTATAAGACATCCATTTGCGAGACATCAGCACCAATTTTTTGGCTCAGATTGCATATTTTAAGTTTTTGTTCCGAATTAAGTTTGCCCTATGTGGCAATAGTGCAAACTTCATGTAACAGGTCTTCAATGTTTGACATCTAATTTTGAATATCGGGCGTCGACTAGATTCTATCGAGAAGTCAGAATTACGGCTGCTCTTTAATGGTGAAGTACAGGAAGCCAGCTTGCTCGGGTTTAAATCCATCTTCGAAACAACTAAGTTTGTATTTCCATTATTTATAAGTAAGTGTCACAATAAGCAGAATAATAATGTAGGCCACTATTATTGCTTTGATTCAATATTTCTAGTATACACGTCTGTTCACAACGTACGTCAAGAATCGAATCAAAGCCAGGATCCACGATGCGTCAAACGGAAAGAACATGCTCCCTATGGATGGGTCTGCAAGGTGGCCATGGAAAGGTTAATATATATATATATATTTTTTTATACTACTTAACTATCGTTAATAAGAAAGCCGATCGTCCGCCAGATGGCAAGAATACACTATAGCCTAAGTACGTACTCCAGCAGAACGAGAGGCATCACAGATGTGTCGAGGGCCATCTAGGAAACTGTTATCCTCATTTACCAGACTTTACGCAGTAACATTACGTCACCGCTTCACGCGGGTATCCCGAGAGAGGAAAGTACTTCCCCGGCCGAGCCAGTCCTTTCAAGTTACGTAAAGCACCTCTAGGCTCTACCATTACAAAATGCAAGCATCCACAACTTTTACTTTTCATCCATTAATTCCGTTTAGCTGTAACAGAACGCTACGTTAAAGTAATTTTTTTTTGTTTCAGTTGGTATTACGACATCAAGAAAAATGACTGCTTTTTTACCTCAGTCGGTGAATGCGGGGAGACTAGTGACAATTTTTACACAGAACATGAGTGCGCAATTGCCTGTATGTACGAAGAAAACAAAAACATTTAATTGGTAAGTCACAAACATTTTCTAGGATCGCATAAACACCCATAGAAAAACTATTAAATTGAAAATATGTCTAAAAATTTGTCGAATGTCAATATCAATCTCATACTTACTACACACTGACAGATTATCTTGAAGATAAGAATGCTTGGCAGCATGTTGGTTCGGCTCCACTGGACAATACTCAAATGTAGTCAGTAGTTAAATTCCAATAGTAGGTAATATAATACATAATTTAATACTTTAATTCTAATGTAGACAATCTA